GTTAACCATCTGTTGAATGCTATTGCTTTATTCATCGCTTATATGTGGTTTAGTATATTTCTGCTGGGCTGTGACTCACCCTTTATGGGAACATCATTTTCAGGTTCAGGTGATAAGCTACCTCCAAGGACTTAGCTTGGAAGGACTTGGATTTTGAAGAATATCTTTAGTTAATTGTCTTTATTTATTAGTACATGTAAACATCCAAACCTGGGGCTTTTCATGTGTTGAGGAATCAATCAGGGATGGGAGTTGTTGCATCATCACTAGCTACAGATTCAGTCTTTTGCTGGTTGGAGCAAGAGGGCTTAAAGTGGCAAAGGGACAGGCCCTCACCCTTCTCAAAACAGTGGCCAAAAGTGCTCAAAATGATAGACAATCAACTCATGTTAACAAGCAAACTTATGGTCCCAAAGTTAAGGCACAAAAGAAGACATTTCACCCTCATTAATATGGCCACTCATGGCATGATTAAAGCAAAGCAAAAACAGGATTTGTGCATGCAAAACAACAATCAATGTAATTTGAGTATTTCAACACAAAACATGGAGTTTTAACCAAGCAATTTAACACCAGAAGGCACTACATATATACTTACATATATAAAAAAGCATTTAAAAGACTTGCTTAGGCACTAAAAGGTCAGAATTCTTCACTAAAATTTCTAAGTTTACAAGGTTTTCACTTATTCCTTTAGAGCATAGCATAAAAGCCACCAAAATCACAATTTTTTGCTACCTTTTTCTACTGCATAGAAGAACTACCATCTCTATTTTTTTTAGTTTGCTAGCTTACAGGCACACACAGCCCTCTTTTCTCATGTTTTCTACAAAGAGGTCCCTGCATATATTAAAATTACCCACTACAGGACATACATACACTGACAATTTCTAAACAAAAGATTATTATAAAAAATTAATAATAGTAATTAGTTGTCACTCATGTAGTTATTGGTTAGATTATTATAAAATTATCTCATTTCCTATACATCAATAATGGGCAAGTGATACAAAAGGTTATCAAAATAGAGAAATTCTATAGCTCACATCTTTAGTATTCTTTTATTACCAGAAATGAAAAATAACCTGATATGTAGATTGGAATTTTAAATTGAAAAAACAAGGCAATGGGATGATAAATTCTAATTCTATTTACATGGGAAACAAATTCAAAGATCCAAAGAATAATAAATAAATATAGAATAAGAAGTCAAACAATTAATAAATAAATACAGAATAAGAAGTCAAACAATCCTAAACTTTACAATGGTTTACAATATGAAAGATAGAGCTGCGTGAAGTTTTAGTTTGGAAAGCCACTAAACTGACATTCTTGTAAAATCTCATATAGAAGATGGGGACAAGAGTTGGGGACAGAAGATCCCAATAGAAATGAGGGCATTCTAAAAAGCTCCCCTAAATGTGTCTCATTATTTTATTGTTAACATGAATGGATACAGAGAGAAGTAAATCAAACTTTAGCAGTAAAGTTTACCTTGCAGAAGAAACGGCGACAACACTAGTTTGGCCTGCTGAGTGTGCAAAAGATGCTAGGGTTTCAGCTTGCATTTCAATTGAATGTTTACCGCAAAACTTATAACTTGAACTCAAAACCTGCAAACCTAAGGATGCATAGATAGATCATAAATGATCCAAAATTATAGATGGAATATGAGAAAGCTAGATAAGTATTTATAGGGAGATTCAAAGACCGAGAGAGATAGAGAGAAGCAAACTGAAGGAGATTGAAGCAACCAAATATCAATATTGAAAATCACATTTTCCATTTTTCCCTCCAATTTTTGAGCAAGGAAACAAATTAATAGAGAGATTGAAGCAACCAGATATCAAAAAAGAGCCAACACATCCCCTGAGTTTTCCAGAAATTAATCTAGTATATCATCACAAACTTCCACTCAATCACATATAATATGTACCAAATCACTCCAAAATCTATACACATAGGTATTTGAAATACATATAAATAAGAGAATAATTGAATTAAATGAAAGTGATTCAATCAAATATCAAGAGTTCAAACACATTCAAATTGAATATTGCAAGGGTCATTTATCGATCCAAACCCTAGGAGTAGATTCAAATCGCAAACTAAGAAAACATGGAGTAAGATAGAAATAGAGAGAAGAATTTTCGAGAGAAAGTACCTTGAACTCGATCGAAACCCTAGGTGTAGATCGAAACCCGAAAACAAGAAGAAACAGAGAAAGAAACTTGAGAGAGAGAGAGAGCACGTACCTTCAATGATCGAGTTCGAAACAGAGAGAGCACAAGATTGAGAAGAACACGAAAGGGAGAGCGAGAGAGAACGAGATTGAAAGATTCATACCAATGCGAACTGAGAGAGAGAGAGAGAGAGAGAGAGAGAGGCAGAGCGAGAATGCGTGTAAGAGAGAGAACAATCAGTGTTTGTGAAGGGCAGGGCAAATAAAAGGAAAATGGGAAAATAAATAGAAGGAAATAACGAATAAATTGGTTATTTGCGACGGATAATCGGGTGGTTGCAAATTATATGGTAGCAAATAGTCATTTTTTTAGTAGTGGCCCTATGCAATGTGGAATGGAGAACTCAATTCCTTGATGGATTTGTTCGTAACGTCCCTAGAACTTATTCTGATCACTCTCCGATGATGGTCTACACTCAAGGTAAAATTTCTTCCAACCCTTCCACTAGACCTTTTAAGTTTGAAGCAGCCTGGATAACCCATGAGGTCTTCAAGTCTGTTGTTAAGAATAACTAGAACAAATCTAGCCCTGTCCTCATTGATAAACTCCAAAGCATGGCTGTTAAGTTGTCTGATTGGAATAAGGATACCTTTGGTAATATTTTTAGACGGAAGAGATGGCTGCTTGAGAGAATTGAAGGGATCCAAAAATCTCAATCCCGTGCCTACACTCATAAACTTTACTTGCTCGAAAAAGAGCTTGTGGAACAGTATAATCAAACTCTTTACCAGGTGGAATTACTTTGGTTTCAAATCCAGAGAAAATTGGATTGTCCAAGGGGACCGTAACACTAAATTTTTCCATCTTACCACCTTGATTAAAAGAAGGGAGACTTAGAATTGAAGTCCTTAAGAATGATGATGAGGTTTGGATTGACCAGGCGAATGACCTCAAAAATCTTCTTGTCGCTCACTTTAAAATTTTGTTTGGTAATCCTACTACCAACTCTTTGAATCACTAGTGTAATTAAGTTGTCTGCAGTCTATCTAGTAATGATAATATTGAGTTGTCCAAAGTTATTTCTGATGAGGAGGTGAAGAAAGCTGTGAAAAACATTAAAGCTTTCAAAGCCCCTGGAAGGGATGGGTTCCAAGCTATTTTCTTTCATAAGTATTGGGATATTGTTGGCTCTACTGTTTATTCCTTTATAAAAAATTGCTTTAGCACTAATTCTATCCCTGATGAGATAAATAGGACCCTTATTTCTCTTATTCCAAAAGTGGAGAATCCTGAGAGGGTTAAACAATTTAGACCTATTAGCCTTTGTAATGTTACCTACAAAATCATTACCAAAATTGTGGTGGATAGAATTAGACCGCTTCTTGATAAACTTGTGCGACCCAACCAGAGCAATTTTGTACCTGGTAAAAATATTAGTGATAACATCATTATTACTCAAGAAGCCATCCATTCTATGAGATTACGTAAAGGTAAGATGGGTAATATGATTTTGAAAATTGATCTTGAAAAAGCCTATGACAATATCTCTTGGAATTTCTTGAAAGAAACTCTTATTGAATTTAACTTTAATGAGAATTGGGTGGAGTTAATTATGTGTAGTGTGACCTTAGTGCAGATATCTATTTTATGGAATGGAGAAGCACTTGACGAGTTTAGGCCCTTGAAAGTCCTAAGGCAGGGTGACTCCTTATCTCCATACCTTTTTGTTTTGTACATGGAATGGTTGTCTAATATGATAAGCCTTAAGGCAGAGGATAAAAAGTGGAAATGTATCTCTATTGCTAGAAGAGGACCTTGTATCACTCATCTCTTTTTTGCTGATAATTTAATTTTATTTGTTAATGCAGACACTAAAAATTGTACTATTATTACTGAAGTTATGAATGAGTTCAGTTACATATATGGGATCAAGATTAACCTTCAAAAATCAAGACTTTTTGTGTCCCCTAACCTTGTTCCTAGGAAGGCCAAAGACCTCAGTGCGATGTGGCATTCCTTTAACATCTGACTTGGGTAAATACTTGGGTGTTCCACTTTTGAATGAAAGAGTGAGTCAAGGACATTTTAACAACATCCTTGAGAAATTACAAAACAAGTTGGCAGGATGGAAAATGAGTGTCCTATCTATGGCAAGAAGAGCTACCCTTGTTCAATCTATTACTGCTGTTTTACCTACTTACACTATGCAAACTATGGAGTTACCTATAAAAGTGTGCAATGATATTGACAAGATTAATAGAAATTTTCTTTGGGGTGATACCGTAGAGAAAAAGAAAATTCATTTTGTTAACTAGAATGAGGTTTGTAAAATGAAGAAACATGGCAGCCTTGGCATTAAGAAGGCTAGAGATCATAATCTAGCCTTACTTTCAAAATTGGGATGGAAACTCATTAACAATGAGGGAGGGATGTGGATAAAGGTGTAGAAAGCCAAGTACTTGAAAGGTAACCACTTCCTATACTGAAAAAAGAATAGTAGAGCCTCTCATGTGTAGAGAGGTATATTGAAATCCAGAAGCATCCTAAGAAAAGGTACAAAATGGTCCATTGGTGATGGTACTAGTGTTAACATCTGAAAAGATTGGTGGTGTGGGGAGAAACTTATTGAGGAAGTCATGACCTCCAATTCTCTTACACTAGCCAATACTACTATATCCAAGGTTAGGGATATCATTGATAAGGATAGTGATTGGGATGTAAACATTATTAATCAAACTCTCCTACAAATTGTGGCTGCCTCTATTTTTAAAGAGAAAGCCCCTAAATATAATCCTAACCTGGATCAATTGGTTTGGAAAAAGGGCTCTTGATATTTCATTTTCCACTTCTAGTGCTTATGAGGTGGGTTCAGAATATGATGGAAAAGAGGGGGATTGGCAATGGTTGTGGAAAAAGAAAGTTCCATAGAAGCTGAAAGGTTTTCTGTGGACTATCTTACATGGAAAATTTCTTACTAACAAAATGAGAATGAAAAGAGGCCTTTCAGATAATTCATGTTGCCCCTTTTGTAGTGAATCTGAAGATCTCAACCATCTTTTTAGAGCATGCTTCAAAGCTAAGAGAGTTTGGACTGCTATCTGAAACCAGCATTGGTATCTACAGATGACTTATAAGAACTAGATGCATTGGCTGATCTCTAATGCTAAAACAAATGATAAATTTGGGGCCAAGTCTTCATGGAGTACTATCTTCTTGGTCACATTATGGAAAATCTGGAAAAACAGGAACCTGAAAGTTTTTAAAAATAAATTGTCTAATCAATTTGAGAGTTTGAAATTTATTCTTGATTATTCCACTGAAATTGATCTTGCTTTCAGCATATTTATTATTAATCCTAGACCTCCATTTAGACTAATTAAATGGATTTTCCCTCCTGTAGGTACCATGAAACTGAACACGGATGGAAGCAAATAGAGAAGGGGACCAAATAGGTTTAGAGGTCTCATTCGAAATGAGAGGGGAGCTTGGATTTGCGGCTATTATGGGAGGATGGAAAGTTGCACCAGTCTTGAAGCTGAACTATAGGCGGTGTATAAAGGTCTAACAATCATTATCTAAAAAGGCTTCAACAAAGTGATTATGGAAACAGATACTTAAGAAGTAGTGAAGCTGCTTGTAGAAGGCCCTGGAGAGAAACATCCTTATAGAGGTCTGGTGGAAGATGCGATGATCATATTCAATGGCACCCAATGCACTGGTCAACATGTTTATCGTGAAGAAAACCTATGTGCGGATGCTCTAGCAAAATTGGAAGCTGCACAACCTGATGACATATTAGTTGTTAATGATCCCCAAGCTGAGATTAGAGAACTATTAGTGGCTGACATGTTGGGGATGGGTAGGGAGAGGTTTAGTCCCATGTTTTTGCTTTATTTCTGATGTATCAAAAAATAAAAAAATAAAAAGATAATACCATTGCTTACGGGATGATGATAATGAGTTTTAAAAAGAGTTTTGAATTGTATTTTAAGTTTTGAGTTTTGAATTTTGAGTTGTATTTTAAAACTTTTTGAATTTATTTTTTTAGGATAAATATTTTTTATTGTAAATATTTATTTATTTTTTTAATATGCGTTATATTTACTACATTTGTGTGCTGTATTTTTTTAAAATATTTTAAAATTTTAAAAAAAAATTATTATTATTATTTTAAATATATAATTTTTATTTTAAATATTTTATTTTATTTTTCAAGTATTTACCATTTAGTCCTAAAAGTTTTTTTATACTCCATTTAGTCCCATTTGCACTTCAATCTAATGTTCGAAACATTAATCTGATGTTTAGAATCTAATGTTCGAAACATTAATCTGATGTTTAGAATCTAATGTTCGAAACATTAATCTGATGTTTAGAATCTAATGTTCGAAACATTAATCTGATGTTTAGAATCTAATGTTCGAAACATTAATCTGATGTTTAGAATCTAATGTTCGAAACATTAATCTGATGTTTAGAATCTAATGTTCGAAACATTAATCTGATGTTTAGAATCTAATGTTCGAAACATTAATCTGATGTTTAGAATCTAATGTTCGAAACATTAATCTGATGTTTAGAATCTAATGTTCGAAACATTAATCTGATGTTTAGAATCTAATGTTCGAAACATTAATCTGATGTTTAGAATCTAATGTTCGAAACATTAATCTGATGTTTAGAATCTAATGTTCGAAACATTAATCTGATGTTTAGAATCTAATGTTCGAAACATTAATCTGATGTTTAAAATCTAATGTTCGAAACATTAATCTGATGTTTGAAACATTGTAATGGGACCTTTCAGTCTATAAGAAAACTTTTAGGACTAAATAGTGCATAAGTTATTAATTTGGGATTTATTGGTGCATCCCCCTAAAACTAATGTAAATATTGATCAAACACTAAAATAAATAAAGGTAAATATAAATTTTAGTAGAAAAAGATTTTTTAAAAAATATATTATTTATTTATTTATATGACCAATGAGTTATTGATGAAAAAATAAATTAAATCTTGAAGGAGGCCAGTGTCATTAGGCAAAATGCGTGAGATTAATTGTATTTTATTAAAACCTTATGGGAGGTGAGTGTAATTTACCCTTAATTAATTTAGTCAGAAAATTGAGATTCTAGACGGGTCAAGGAAGTTCATGTTGAAAATATACGTTGAATGTTGAAGAGAAAGCTTCCAACTTAACTACTTTGAATGGAAGCCATGCCCTAACCCAATTGGTAAGGCATCCCTTTCCAAGACTTTCTTACCTCTCTTGCAACCTCAAATTATGATTAATTTATTAGCTTTAGAGTTAAAAGAGAAAGAAAAATAAAAATTTTTATACTCCATAAAATATATTCAGTATGATTTGGTGATGACATTACTATAATTATGAATTACAATAATATGTGTTTCAACTTGGAAAAATTATTAGCTATAGTGATGAGAGTGATGTTTTGATTTGAAATTAAAGAAATTGTATTATTTTGTATGAAAATTTTGTGAATTTTTTTTTTGATTGTATTTGTATGCCATTATCTTAAAAATAATTTATATATTGAAGGCATGTCTCCAACTAAGGAGTAAGATTCCAAATTTTTATTGAAAATCAAATCAAATGGACCCTAAATACTATTTAATTATTTGTACTTATATGGAAGAGAGCATTTTGTAATTTTTTTTTTAAACCAATATTTGCCTTCACTTCTGTCCCCTGTTCTCAACCAAGCATAGTTATTCACTGTTCTCGCGAGCAATGACTCCATAGTAATGCTACAAGGACGAGGTTGAATACATATGCAGGTGTAATTATTTACTCAATTTAATTAATTAACAGGTATATTTGCAAAATGAAAGTCTTCTATACCCAAAAATCATGTTAACATTTTACTTTCAGCCATATGATCATAAATTGAAATTTTTATATTTCAAAAATTCACATTGTGTGTGTCGATTTCTGACCATACTGTCAGACAACTGGAGAGCACTGACAGAATAGATGGCGCCTGAATGACCTGTAATAGAAAGATGAAATCCCGACGGTAGTTCGTTCACCCGGGAGCACTCCGACGATAGTGCTTAACTCACTATTCAGAGCATAAAAAGCATACATCAGACCTATGGGGTGCCTCTCTTTTATAGTCAACACTTACCTAATCCCAACAAAAAGCATACCTTAGACCCATGGGGGTGTCTCTCTTTTATAGCCAACACTTACCTAATCCCAATAGAAGCCTAGCTTCAATGACTTAGGATTACTGCTAATCTTGGACTCTCAGTAGGATTGAGATAAACTCTCTAAGAGTCTTACCTTTATCCAAACTGAAGTCATCCCCCATTCTAGGACTCATGTCCCTTATTCGCTTATCCCGGACTCCGGTTTCTCCGTAGACAACCTTGGCCTAGCCGAGATCATCTCGGCGTCATGACCAGGACATGTGGCACCCCGGCTGGCACTTCGGTGACACCTCGGCCACGTGTCATCATTCAAAATTTACGTCCCCACACACATTATATTATATAACTGGAAATGCATTAATTAGAAAGAATAAGATTTTTGGATACTCATCCAAAAAAAATAGGGTAGGGCTTCTGTCCAGTCCGGGATCGGACTGTACCATGCTGTTGGGCCCGTGGGGGCCCACCATGGATCCTGTTTTGATATTTTGAACCGTTCAATGTGTAGAAATCGTCGAGTACTATATGCTTGTAAAAAATCACGTTGATCGAATATCGATAGCTATATGATCAAATCAGTTTCGTATTAAAAAAATTGGACGGTGAAAAATTAACGGTTGACAAAAAATTGTTTTGATCACATAGCTATCGATATCCGATCAATGTGATTTTTTACAGACATATAGTACTCGACGAGTTCTACACATTGAACGGTTCAGATTATTAAAACGGGACCCGTGGTGGA